AGGCGATGGCCGCAAAGAAGGCCGGTCTGGGGGCGATTCTCATCATGACACATCGTCGAGATGTGAACAAGCTGACGCTGGAGGAGAAGAAGGAGCTGCCGTACGTGCGCTCCTTCAATGAGATCATCTTCACTGGAGATGCACCCAAAGCTCGCAACCTCAACGGCAGCTCTGTTGGGGACGACGATGAGCCTGCAGGCGGAGGGGAAGGAGGTGGAAAGAAGAAGACACCAAGCAAAAGTAACATCAAGAGCGCCAAAAAGAAGAAAAAGTCTAAATCTAAATCAAAGATGAGCAGTTCTAGTGCGGCAAAGAGAAAGAGCAGCTCTTCTGGCAGCCAAACTAAGGCAGACAGTGCCACTGCCGATGCAGCTGAGTTGGGAAGTAAGAGCAAGTCTAAAGTAAAGTCCTCCGCTGCAAAGAGCTCCAAATCGGGGGAAGGATCAAAGTCAAGCAATGCTGTCTCAAAGGCCGGTTCAAAAACAAGCAGCAAATCAGCAGATGGCTCCAAAGCAAAATCTTCTGCTGCTGGCTCTAAAAATTCAAAAATGTCTTCCAAGTCGACTGAAAACGCAAAAGGCAGCGGTGGTGGCTCCAAAGGTTCTGGGGCCGTTGAATCTGCGGCAGCTTCCGGCTCAAACGCTGGTAAGTCGATTGATGGTGGAAAAAGTGCTGGCGGCACTGAACCGGCATCAGGAGGCGGTTCTTCAGATGCAAAGTCATCAGCCGCCGCTGGATCAGGATCCAAAAGCGAAGGCAAACAGTAGCAAGTGGTACCCTTTTTATTTTTGTTATTTGGCACTTTTATTCAAACTGTCCAATATATTTATAACAATTTTATTGATATTTTTACTTTTTTTGTGCTACCTTTTTATCAAAGTGGTGGGTTAATGTCAGCTGAGTCTCACAACCCTCTCACCTTAAATTTCTGTAAGTACATGATGACTTCTTTTGTTATGATCTATTTTCAATGATTTTTTATCATTTTAGGAAGAAGTAGACTTAGAAGAAGCGGCTTTAATGGACTTAAAAAAGCTTCCAAGGAGGGCGTGGCAGAGGAAGCGCCCAAGAAGGATTTTGTAGAAACCGAAGTGGCGATGACTGAAGCTTTAGTTTTGACCCAAACTCTCTGACGAGCAGTCTTAAGAACAGGATCACTCAGGAACTGACTTATTTATTACAAAACTAAAAGACGCCCAATCGCTAATAATTTCCAAAATNGTGGCGATGACTGAAGCTTTAGTTTTGACCCAAACTCTCTGACGAGCAGTCTTAAGAACAGGATCACTCAGGAACTGACTTATTTATTACAAAACTAAAAGACGCCCAATCGCTAATAATTTCTAAAAACNCCGAAGTGGCGATGACTGAAGCTTTAGTTTTGACCCAAACTCTCTGACGAGCAGTCTTAAGAACAGGATCACTCAGGAACTGACTTATTTATTACAAAACTAAAAGACGCCCAATCGCTAATAATTTCCAAAATCATGCAATCTAGCACTACGAAATTAATTCTTCAGATTACTCTTGAAAGTTTTGTTTTTATATTTGCCGCACAAATCAGATACTTTTTTATTCTTCGACAGATGTCAATAGGGTCGCATATGAGCACATTTTGCATTGCCCAACTTTTGCATCTGTGTCACCGGTTCTTTGAGATTACAAAACCCGGGTTTCAGCTTAAATTGAGCTTGAGCGATATTTTTGTGGCACTCGATTGCCTTGTTGGCAATCCCTGACATTTGTCTATAGCTTCAGAGAAGACAGCTGTTACTTTGTTCGCTTCTCTTTGATAGTCGAATGATTGCAGACAGTGCTGTGCAATGCAATTTGCCCTTTTTACAGTGGTTCTCAAAGGCAAGAACGATTGGCTAGTTTTCATAAAAAATAAAATAAAAATGCATTTATTTGTGTTATTTGAATCAGATTTTTATGGTTTTATGGTTTTTTACTATTTTTGCCCCACAACGAAAAAAATTGCAGTTTATAAACAGAAAGTTTTTTATTGTTTTAAAATCGCTTGAAAACATAGACCATTCTGAAGTGTCGCCTTTACAATTCAAATCGATACACAAAAATAGAAAGTTTTACAATGTGATCAATACCAAAGTTATATTTATTTAGTTCTTTGTGCTAAATTACAGAATGTTATGAGAGAAAAAAGTTAACTCAAAATGAACTTATAAGTTCAAAATTCGCGCCAACGAGAAAATACCACTGTATCTTTTGGTTGGGATCCGCTGTTCTCTCTGCATGCAAAAGTCCAAAACTCGTATGACTCATCGTCAGAGTTAGTCTGACTGAGTCATTTGTTAGCAGAGGGCAGTCCACGGCAGGATCGCTTCTAACTGTTGGAGTTCTAACAGCACTTTTGCTTCAGGCCGTACATGTCCTTCTCTCGCCGTGCTATCGACGACTTTCTCGCGTAATATCCTCTTGGCAGCGTCACTTTCTTGTAAATACGCTTTGTCACACTGCGTCCGACAGCATACCATTTCGCTGGAGATTACCTAATTCAGAAGCGCAGCATCAACAACTGCCATCCGTGCTCATCTTCATTCCCTTTGACATTTCATGTCTCCAAGTAGGGACTTTATTNATATCCTCTTGGCAGCGTCACTTTCTTGTAAATACGCTTTGTCACACTGCGTCCGACAGCATACCATTTCGCTGGAGATTACCTAATTCAGAAACGCAGCATCAACAACTGCCATCCGTGCTCATCTTCATTCCCTTTGACATTTCATGTCTCCAAGTAGGGACTTTATTCACCAACAACAACAACAACAAAGCAACTATCCAGCTCATCCATAATTGACTCGCCTTCCCTCTTTGATATCCATTCTTGTTTGTTTTACAATTCTCGCCCCTCCCTTCAACATTAACCTTTTGCTCAGTGTTGTCACAACAAATTACATCAACACTGCCGATCCACAGACACATGGTAGAAGCTGGTGCTTAGTCATCTGCAACTAGAGCTACCATCATCCTCATTATTATCATCATCATCATCACCAGCAACTGCAGCACTGCAAACATCTTATCACCTAATACCAATTGTCACTATCATCGTCCAAGTGGTGCACCCACCAGCAAGCGAATTTCAATGGTGGAAGCTCTTGTCAGCCAGATCATTTGCCCGTTGCCTTTGCTTCACACTGACGCCCAGCCGTGTGAGCACAAGTGTGTTTGTATGTTTTGAGCACTACTCGCACACTCACCTACTGGTTGATGCTCAATGGCGCACTAGTGCACTGCTGCACATAATCAACTTACTGGCATTCAAAGGAGAGAGAGAGAGAGAGGGGAGGCTTAACATCAAGGTTGCAATACATTTCTTGGCACAAGCCCTCTTTGCCTCTTGTGGTTTCTCCGTTTTCTTAAAAACTCACAATCATCCTCTCGCCGTAAAAATACTCGTGAATGATATTGCATAAACACCCGATCAACCGAAGGATGCTGACAGTCGGAGTCCTTTTATTCAGCAAATTTTTAGCTCTCCTTATGTAAGTACCACCAATCACTGATTGCATCGACTGAACTCTCAACGCAAGTCACCATTTGCCCTCCTTTGCCGTGCTCTGTGCCAGACAACAACTGACTTTTTATTGCTCTTCACTGCGACAATCCCACACAATTTGACTTTGCAAAGTTTACGAAAAATTCTATCAACATCACCGATCATCTCGCCAACTCAACAACTGAAACATTAGAGTGTGATCGTATTGCGGTGTTGTATAAATGTGCATATATCAGTGTCTGCATTATTAGTTTACTAGGCTAGGCTAGTGTGCTTCACTTGACATTACCCGCCATCACTACACTACGAGCAGACATCCTTTCGCAAGAGCATCCACACAACAACCACCGAGCACTCTTCCATTCACACGTTTTGACGCCACGATCGCGCTAATTGACATTGTTTGTTGTGCTCGAAATACATCTGACAACACTTCTCTTCACACCAGCACCGCTTGATTACGCAGAGGACGCAGGGTGAATGCCACTAAATAGTTTAAGCATTTGCAAGCTATCATAAACAAAATTATGTCAAGCACGTCTGAATGAATTGAATCGTTGTTCATCTAAACTATTTGGCATTTCCTATCATCTACCCAGTTTTAATTTCGCAATAGTCTTAGTCAAACACGTATACACTTTCTCTTCCGACTCGCTACAAAATCGAGCCACCAAACTCGGGAAATCATTTGTAATTCTGTGATAATGGCTTTAACTTTGCCATCATCAAACGGAGCTTCCTACCACACTGCTCGACCTACAAATATTCAGCTGAATGTACGGCAATGCGTGGATTTTCCTTATTGCACACACTTTCTAATTGTCGCCCTTTTCTATTGTTCTCCCTTTCTTTCCTCTAGTCGCACTTCAACGGAGGACTTACACAGACCACTGCAACTGTCACTCCGACCAGGCTTAAGAACATTGAAGACGACTTTCTCGAGCACTCAAGCCTGCTGCCACCTAAGCCTGAACAGCACCAGCATATGGCCGGCTTTGTGACGCCCAGCGTCAATATCTCACTTTTTATGAAGCGACCAGCAAACTTTGACATTGCCATTAATCTGGACAATCAAACGAGCCAGGACAACTTTAAGCTACACGAGTACTACAACTCCTCGACCAACTCTAACAGCAACGATAGTTACCCGTTCGAGAGCGACGGGTACAGCAGCGAGGCTAGCTCATCTGCTTTTGATACCTCTTTTAGCAATACCTCTGAAATGAACTCGAGTCGGGGCAAGAAGGGCTCCGTTGTCACGTCCAAATCTCGCAAAACGAATCAGTCGGCGAGCACTTCTAGTCAGCAGAAGCCTAAAAAGTCAACTGGTGGCGGGCGAAAGCCAAACCGTAATGACAAGGTTTGCTGCTCTTTAAATGCCATTTTGTTTTTAATTTCGCTAATTACTATTTGCTTTCCCTTTTATGTAGCTCACCCCTGAGGAGGAGCAGAAGAGAGAGAAGCGACGTGAGCGCAACAAACTTGCCGCGGCCCGATGTCGTAAGAGGCGCCTTGATCAAACCAACACTCTTAGTGATGAGGTAGCTCAAGAAGAGGAAATTCACATTGAACTTGTCAATAAGCTAAATGATTGGCTCAGCAAAATGAAAGTGCTGAAAAATCACATTGAAGCACACGAGAACGGCTTTGGCTGCAAGAGCAAAGGCTTGTCCCTTCCTCAAGACTTGTTTGCCTCGCTTGACCTTGAGGCAATGGAAGAGGCGATGAGACCTCTTGAGGAGGATGACGATCTCAGCGATTTGTCCATGGCAGTTTCAGAGCCCTCCAAAGTTGTGGTCAAATCGGAATCATCTCACGGCTCAGTTTCTGGTGCCACCTCGGTCATCGTCTCGGGCAGTAACGTCCCGGCCAATTTAATCAGCTTTGCAAACGCCATCAACATCAACAACCAGTCAACCTCCTCTGCCTCAATCTCACCTCCACTCTCAGCCGCCGAGCAGCCCGGCACCAGTCAAAAGCGAAAGCGACCCAACTCCTTACCGGTGTCTAACCCATTTAAGGCAGCCAGTGTGAGCGAGAGCAGCGGTGCTTTCAACTCCAATGCCTTACAGACTCCGTCGATGATCTTTGGCGGCGACTGCTTTGAGGGCGGCACTGGCCTCACGCCCATAGAGCCCACTTTGACCTCTTCTGAGCTGGCGCCCTTCACGCCTTCCACAATGGCAGCTTTGTTCAATTCAGTTACTGCTCCTTCGCCAATGGAGGAGACCTCGGATCAAAAGAAGCTCATTATTATCTAAGCAACAGCAACGCAAAGCAAACTTGTGATATTTTCATCTGTGCGGCACTTGCTTCATGCTCGTAACAGTTCTACATTTGCTCGAAGCAGTGCATCCTCAAACCGTCCATTTGGATTCTTCAATTTTATAAACTTTTTACTACCTTGGCCTCTTGTCATGCTCAATCTCACCACCTTCTCACCACAAACGCCCAACCATTTTTGGTTTTTATGAATTGTAGATATTTAAATGAACGGAAGAACTTTTATGCATTTTTTTTCTATCGCTAATTCACCGTTTTTCAATTTGTTTTAATTTTTTATTTTTGTAATTACACACCCACACTATCTTTCTAATGATCTACCTGACATACCTATTGGCAATTTATCAACATCAACACTATTGTTTCCTTTCTCCTTTTGAACAACCACAACAAGTCAGTCTCTCTCTAAGATGACACTCTGATTCTGAGTATATTCTTAATTTGGACAATAAAACTTCAGCATTAAAAGTGTATGGTTTCAGCTTGGCGATGTTGAGTGCCGATAAAGTAAAGGTGTGACGTAAGACAGGGCAATGGACCGGCAGACGGTGGGTGGCTTTGCACTTGCACTCTCCCTGCAGGTGCAATTGTCAGTGCTCGATCCAATTGAGCTTGCTAATTTATGCCGTGACAGGTAATAGTCGCTGAGGCATTCTACCTCTTGTGCTAATCAACAGACCATTAAAATCACTTAGACAATTAATTGGCCGCTGTCGCTGTGTACCCAAAAAAAGCTCAGACCGATCTTTCGAGCTTTGAACATTAATTTATTCGTGAAAGAAGAGAGGCTAGCAACAACAAAACAAGAGAGTATTGGTTTTCACTGGTGGCTCCTTTATTGGAGAATTTCTTTGTCTCTGTGGGAGGTGGGTTTGAAGCGCACTCAGGACCAAATAGTTGTCCTGCTCCATTGCGCTAGTGACATATTTATTGGTCAACCTGAAGTGTGTTCTGTGCTGTGCCTTCATCGTCATCGTAGGTAGGACAATAAATTAGTGTGATTTGCTCAGAGAGAATGGCCAAATGAGTAGTGGCTGAAAGCGAGTATTAGCCTGCGCACGTAGTCGTCGAATGGGGAGAGGAATATAAATCAACGGTAGCATCGGCAGAAGAGCCACTGATGACAAGGACAAGGTAAGGGACGGTGCCACTGTGGAAGAAAGTCGACACTGAATGCACACCTTGCAGACTGTTCCATCCGAATCGGCAATGAGACGATCGGCAGGTAGGGGCAATTGTGTCCTTTGCGTTATCTGCCTCATGTCTAGTGGCTAGGCTCGTGGCAAATTTTATCTGCAGACAACCATTGAGCATTCAGACTTTTTAGACTGCTCAAATTAATTTAAAAGCTCCCTCTTTCATCAGATCGTGATCTTTCTCTCTCTCTCTCTCTCTCTCTCTCCCTCTGAGCAGTGCCAGACTGTGGCCATAACAAAGACAGATTTTCAAGCGATAGATCACTGATGATTGAGAAATGGAGAGATTACATACCTTTCTGACAATACTTGCCGGTCAGTTTTCACGTATTGAGTGCGTACTTGCTGCTGCTAAATAGTTTGGACATTTCATTTAAAGTGAAATGCTACAGTAAGAGCAGTTTCGCCGGTCAGTCGAGCAATTTATCATTTTCAAGTTTGATATACAGGCGAAACTCACACTACATAATGCTTTTGTGCAACACTCCGATTATGTACATGCGAACGTGTTGACTATTTTTCTTTACAAAATTTTTAAATTTTTTTTAAAAAATTTTAGTTAAAAATCTTCTTAACTCGTTTTCTAAAGTGAAAACAAAAACAAAATAACACAAATTACAAAATTTTTTTATTTCATTTATTGCCATTATGTACTTGCGAACCGTTATGCAGTGTGAGTTTCGCCTGTAATTACTTGTTGAAACACTTGAATGAATAAAAATTTCATAAATATATTGCTACTTGTTGTCATTTGATCGTAACTAAAAAGTATTAAACGTTTTTAACTTTTTTTAGTTAAAAAACATATGAGTAATCCACAATTTGATTGATTAAACTAAAAATTTTTTAATATTTTGTTTTTATGAGCTTAAAGGCGATGTCGGGCACTTGCTTTATTAATTGCAAGTAAATAAAAACTAACCTAAAAGATTATATTTGCAGGCAACCCGTTATACACATTTTTGCCATTATCAACAGCTATAAATATATCACATACTGACCAAATGCAGTTGGGCACCTAAACTCGTGTTTTTAATCTTAGATTGTCATTTTTCACATTACATGTACCGTTTTCATTTCATGCACTTGTGCAGCAAAGTTAATTAATCAATTTGTTGCAGCTTTACTATTGCCATTTCTTCTTGCAAGGTGCCGCACTTTTATTTGCGCAATTCTTTATCTTTATCATCATTAATAAAAAACTCACAAATGACTTTTTCATTTGTCAATAACTTTTAAATTGTTGATTAATTGTTAAAATTAAAATTGTGTTTGGGGAAGTTTATGGAACAAGCAGACGACTTTTTAACACAAATTAGTCCGGAACAATAAAGTTACACAGATGATAGTTTATAAAGCACTTTTGTGTTTCTTTTATTTAATATTAAAACAAAAATTTTTGTTTTTAGAGCAATGTCCATTACGGAAAATGTGAAAAATCAGATGCAAGCAGTTAAAACACTATAAGGATAGAAAACGTTTAAGTTTTGCCTCTTTCTTGTGTGTGCAAATTGAGCAGTTTAGGCAGTGATTCTAATTAGATGTCTAGACAAGTCTACTGATAAATGTTACATCACTACTCAAACGAATATTGACTAGGACCATTTCAATAGCATTTCAATAATAGTATTTGAGCCAACAAAAGTATTATTTTTCAGCATTTTGGCAAAAAGCGTAGCTGAAACGTTTCAGTAGCAGATACCTTTTTGTTACTTTAAATTGTGAGTTATCTTAATTAGTTGTCATTAAGCTGTCGCAATTTACTTTGCTATGCTTTTAAATAACCACAAAGTTTTTACAAAGTGCTATTACAGTTCTTCAGATTACTGCCATTTTAGGTTTTATACAAGGAAGTGAGCATTTGGACTTCACACGGAACTGTTTTTCAACACAGTTTGTTTGGAAGTCTGAAAGAATTGCTTTATTTTATCAGACTTTAAAAAGATTAATGCAATGACTTTTTGTCAAAATAATTAACCGTTTTGTGACATTTTTAATGATAAAATTGTCAGATCATAGTCGATAATTTGTTTACTATCTAACACGTTCTAAAATAAGCTTAAAGCTGAAAGCAGGTAATCTTGCAACTTTTCGTGTTTCTAGACATTGATTTTATCTGTCGACCTTTGACTTGAGCGCTACCTCATTTACTCAATCATTTTCACATTTTTATTTTAATAAAACACCATAAAATGATTAACGATTAAAAAAGTGGATGAATGGTGATGACATTGAATAACAATGAATGCCAAAAACAAAGTCATTGCAACCACTTTAAGTGAAAGTGTGCCAAAAATGGTCTGTTGAGGATAAGGAGTTTTATTTAATTTTTCTTGAGTGTATATACACAATGAAGTTTTCTTTGGCAATGAGTAAAAAACTAGCGTTTATNACCAAAAATGGTCTGTTGAGGATAAGGAGTTTTATTTAATTTTTTTGAGTGTATATACACAATGAAGTTTTCTTTGGCAATGAGTAAAAAACTAGCGTTTACAACAGCAAAGAACTTGGCACAAGGGAATTCACCGCTACAAAGTAATTAAGTTTTAAACAAGAATTTTTATTTGAGTGTGTACATGTCAAAACTGATTCCATTTTCGCTGACATTTCGCTCTCTACAACCACATTGTGTATGATTTGTAAAAAGAATCTTCTCCACTTTTGGACTTTGCCTCACTCGTCGATTCTTGTGCCCATTCTGTATCTGCAAAGTGATGGTGATAAAGTACAGCTCTACCGTTTGCATTTCAATCGCTTCACAGATGTTGCTCAGATCTTGACAGCATCCAGTGAGGTCGCTGCATCGGTGGAGAACAGTCGCCCTGGGCATGTACACCTTTGAGGGATCGGTGTTGTTGACTGGCACTATGGTCGGGTGAGGAGTGTGACAGGCGCCCTCAGAGCGGACACGGGCGCCATGGTCAAACGCCTTTGCGTATTCTTCGGCAAATGCTGAGCGCTTTTGACTAGCCAAAGCAATGCCCTTAAAATTGATGACAATGATGCTAAACAGGATGAATAGAACGGCTACAGAATACTGGCGGTGCTGGAGCTGTTGGTGGCCAGGGCTGGTGGTGGCAGCTACGAACAGGGACATTGTCGTTTACAGTTTAAGATGACACTGACGAACAGAATGGTGCAAATGGGAATGGTGATTAGATTGACGGACAATAAAAGACCATTGCTCAAAGGGAATGATGAGGAGATCATGAACACAGGTGACAACGTTAGACAGAAGCAGACTGCGCTGAGACCGATGGCGACTGAACACGATGGGCTGCTCGAGTAAATGATTTTATAGTTGCTGTGAGATTAAGACCAATCTGGCAGACTTGCTGAGCCTCAATTGATTTGAAAACTGTGGTCAGCTTTCCTGTCTGTCTCTCCTCTCAATTCTTCACCGTCCTCAGTGAGCCACCTCTGGACGGTGACTGGGGAAGTCATTTCAGCCTGCCACAGAGTCTCACTTACTGCAAGCATCACTTGCAGCTAACTGAATCTCTCCATACATTTTGCCAGTAGCAGCAGTCGTCGCATCCTCGTCTCGTAATCAGCAGACTAACCTGTGAAATGAAGGAAATAAAAAGAAGGAGAGAAAGAGAGTTCGTAAGGTAGCGCACCACACACCGCACTACTGGTTTGCAATCATGGGCAAAGTCGACCACTGAAGCCCACTACCGCTGCTGAGGATGATCATCTCCAGCTCGCACAGTGCCAATGGCCATCAAACAAAGTTGCACGTTAATTTATGAATCAATTGAAGAGCACCTATACCTAAGCAC